CAATTGGCAAGCTGCTCCCTATTTCTTGGGGCAAAAGACTGTGGCAGAGATCTAGGAGCTTGTTCCAAGTAAGTTCTGTAAAGAGTAAATGTAGAAGAGGGGGTTTCGGGAGACGGGGGAAATAAGCACTGATGTTGGAATTCCAGGTGGCTGCAGGGCAAAGAGCTTTGAGCCGGAGTGGAGGCCAGGCCATAGTTGGACACAAATGCCCCAACACTGTCAGGCAGGAGTCGGGGCACAGAGGCCAGGAAAAATAGAGGTCTAAATCTTGAGGTGGCTGGACCCCAAAGAGTCTAAAACATGGATAGTTTGGTCAGTTTTTTTTCATTTCTGAAAATGACCTGACAAGAACAATTTTAGAGTAGGGAGTTGTATAAACCAAGGTCTCAGTTTATAGATGGCTGACTTCATGGCACTGGGCCTGAGGGAGGAGGAACATTGTGGAGGGTGTGGAGGGTGTGGAGGACAGCAGCTCAGGACATGGCACTCAGGAAGCAGAGAGAGCGCTCTGCTCACCTGGAATGGATTATATACCCTCAAAGCACACCGCCAGTGACCTACCTCATCCAGTCACACCCCACCTGCCTAGTTACCACCCAGTTAATCCATTTAAGTGGATCAATGCATTTATTATTTCATCTGTAAACTTTCTTGCCTGGCCTTATATACATGAGCTTTTGAGGGAAATCTCATCTTTAAACCACAATAGTGAATTATTTTTCAAATTGTCTAATGCAAATCAGCTGAATAAATTGGGAAAGGTCTAGTGTTCCTCAAGTCAAAGGTACTCAAAGTTCATAGGTACTTTGATGGGTCCTTCTTACCCCAGGCAGTCCAGTGTACCTGCTTAGGACCAGAGATGGGCAGTGGACACAGGGTCCAGGGGACAGGCAGCCTCAGCAGAAAGAATACTCAGAAGTTGAGTAGAAGCAAATGTGGGGACTAGTGGAGAAATCCACAGTTAGAAATAAGGCCTTTGGGTGTCCTTGAAGGCCGGGATCATGAGAGGAAGATCAAGTAAAGCCAGCTGCTCTCTCCTCTTGAGAGCTGGGTAAAAGCTTTGTTGAGGGACAGAGATGACCAAGGAACTTGGATTGACGTGTTAAACAACTTTAGAGTAGGAGTCTTGGTCCTCTGGGCCTTACTACAAAGAGCTTGAAACTTCTTTCGGACCAAGATTTCACGCTATTCAGCATCCATTTCGCCCTCTGCTTCTTCATGAGCAGCTCATCTGTTGGACATGTGAGGCCCATGCACACATGAGAAGTGCAGAGATCTACCGTGGGGTTTCAGGACCAGGGCTGACGGCTGTAGAATAACTCCTTACAGTCAGATACTGGGCAGTGGGGAGCAGAGCAAGTGGGAATATGATGGAAGATAGGCCTGTCTGTTTCTTCTCCTAGGTAGAGCAGAGAAATCATAATTCAGTTGTCACTTTCTAATGGTTGTTATATTTGAACCATGAGAGATAAATTTTCACTTTCTCTGCAAAGTTTTTCCTAAAAACATAGCCCTACACTAAAATTTCTACTCTCACTGAGTCTTCTAGTACAGAGGCTCTCATATTTGAGCATGTACCAGAATCACCTGGAGGGCAGAGGGAAGGGGGATACCCCTGGAGTTGAGTAGGTCTGGTCTATGACCTGAAGATTTGCTTTCCTAACGAGTCCTGGGTAATCCTGCTGATCTGGGATCATGCTTTGAGAATCATAGCTACTAATACACACTCTCTACCTTGAAATGATTTATTTGAATTTTGTCAAATATTCCAGAATTATTTTCTTCATGTTAGTCAGTCTTCCCACTCAGAACTCAATTCCTTTGTGACATGGATTGTATGTTATCTATTTTCCTGCACATCAATGAGCACTGTTGGACACCCTATAGATTAAATTACTTATATATTAGGAATATCTTCAGAAAACTTGATTTCTTCAAGCAGAGAGGGATTTGCTATGGTGAATGACAGGATTCCTGCGTTTTACAAACATCATTTACTTTTTTTTTTTTCTTATCAATGTCCTAATCATGTTAAAGAAAAACTCCAGTCTTGATTTAGGAAAAAAGTGTTCATTCCTTCATCCTTCCAAACAAGGTACAGTACAACTGAACAACAATGCATATTCCTGAAAAAAACACAACCATATCTTATATTGCTCCCTACTCTTTAAGTATAATTCAGATATTAAGGAAAAGAGCTGCTAATCACATTAACACATTACAGGAATCAAAATTACCACACAAAATAAATTAAAACATTAAATATTAACCTTTTCAGTGCAACATATACAGAAGTCAGAGTAATAAGTTCTTAAAAAAAAAAAAACACCAGGTTTGTTGTAATGAAAAGTTGAACATTTCAGTAAATTATTACACTAGGAAGAGGGGCTTCTTTTCAGTACTCTGTGTGTGTGTGTGTGTGTGTGTGTGTGTGTGTGTGTACACAATACTAGGTCTTTTCAGAAAGCCTAAAGTAAGATCAATGGCTAGAGAGAACAGGTCTTAGGTTAGAACGTTAAAAATGAACATGTTTGCTTGTTTCTCTGATGTGCCTCTTGGTTCTGGGCTGGTTGACCATTCTCCCTCCTTGGCTGGACATATAGGGAGAGAGAGAAATCCCAGAACCTACTAAGGGGTTGGGCCTCGTGAGCAGAGTTAAGGGATCATTGGTCCATCCCTGCCAAATTACCTGGAAAAAGCAACCAGTGGCTCACAAGTCCTGGAAAACCTGGCCGGGAGACATCAGACTATTTTCCACACTTGCTAAGCACATCCTGCCCTCCCAAGAAGTTTCATAAATCCTCCTCCCTCACCAGTGTGGGTGGATGAATGTCAATCCTTCCTCTTTTTCCTTGCTCAGAAAAAAAAGCACCCTAGAGTCTTTGTGCTCACCTCTTCTGCTGGGACAATGGCCACTCCATCCCTTGCTTAGTTCCACCTGTGTCTAGCTGGAGCCCTGACTTCCAGATAGGAACTGACTGCTTGAGTATCTTTCCAAGTAGAAACTGTTTCCTGCCAGTATATTTAATGTTACAGTCTGTAGAGCAGAGAGTACATCTAGGTTTTGTAAAGGTTTACAGGCCTCTTTTTTTTTTTTTTTTAAATGAGGGCTTTTCATGGTCTCCTGATTCACTAGAAACAGCTATGTTCCTCGCTGCTAGATGTGTGATTGCTTACCAGGTCAGGCCTCTGGGATGGTTACCTTTTGAACACTTGGCCTTCTGAAGGGCAAGGAAACAGGAATTCTGCAGAGATGGCAAGTTAAACACATTTTTATGCTAAGAAGAGAACATTTTTTATAGCTAATCAAGGGACTACTATTGCCCGGAAATGGTACAAAAGGTACAATTTGTCATCATTTGACTTCTAAAAGAGAAACTGGCAAAGAATCAAGGGTGTGGACAATGGTCTAATCAGGCCTGCCTCAACCTGACTTCAGCTTCTGACCCTCTTCAGACCTGCTGGTTTACAAAGGACTGACTCAGAAGGCACTTCTGAGGGGTATGTGCATTTGAACCCCATCACTATGAGTGGACAGGCACAGGAACAAGCACTGGCAGCTATGATGGCCGGAACCTGAGAACTGGAACATTCACAGAGGCTAAATCCGAGGTCTTTGTGGGGAACCTCTGCTTCCACCAGCTGTCCATCCTCGCACCTCTGCCAAGTCTCTTGGATGCCAATTACTGATAGTGTCTTTAGGCTGGATATTGGTGCTTCCATCCATTAGGCAAAAAAAAAAAAAAAAAAAAAATTTAAAAAAAGCCCCAAGAAATATTTCCACATGAGTTCATACTCTTTAAAAACAGCCAGACCTCCCAGAGTCTCCAATAGGCCACAAAAGATTGTCTTAACATCAAAGTGACATACTTAGTCTAATTCAGGATCTCGGAATTTCAGGAAGGTCTGTTGAGAAAGCTGAGTAAGAAACCAGTGTCAGTTGATTGGTCTTCGAGCAGGAGGCTACAGACAGGTCTTGTCCCACTCATCTGCTGCTGTGGGGCTGACCCAATGAACACAATTTGAATCTATTATCTTTAACACTTAAAAAATCTGGAACACTTAAAAGCTCTGAACAGACCCAATTTCAGCACTTACTGCTCATGTGTGACATCATTAAATAACCAAAGTTAAGACAGGTGGGATCATTGTCTTGCAAAAAAAAAATCATAGAAATAATAGTCTAAGGAAGTAGTTTTCTGATAGAAACTTCAAACCAACTTGACATGTTAAAAGTCCCTTTCATAGGTGCACTGAAGGGCTAATAGGTGGGAGTCTTTCCCTTTTCATCGTAGGAGTTTCCTTGCATAGGAGTTCATATATTATTTCATTGCTACTTTGTTTCCAGTTTTGTCAGTTTGAAGGGACTCATGCTGGACCGGTGGGTCATAATGTCATCAAGTCTTGGGAGGACAATTTTGCCTCCTCTTGAGCAGAAAGTGAGAGACTTCTTAGTATTTTAGTTAATAAAACTGGCATTCTGAATGGAAGGGAAAGGAAAAACCAATAGGATATTTCTCCTAATGCTTAAAAATAAATAGGAAAGTTAAACTACTTCTCTTAAACATAAAGCAACAAACCAACCAAGCACAACATAGAAAATAAAGGACTGGTCCCCTTTTATGGATTCAGCCTGAAATGCCCATGGCTTGCTAATGCCCAAGCTGGGCTCATGAGGAAGCTGATGCATTACCAGACAGTAGAGGTTGTATTTACTCTGTGTACACACACAGGCCCTCCTGTCCTCTCCCCACAACAGAGGGGACAGGTCCTTGCTGCTAGATTTGCTAACTTTTCTACCAGAATGTACCCCGGGCATTTACCCATTTTGTGTCTTTAGATATCATGAACTCTGAGCCCCAATTTTTGCTTCTGTCGGAATCCTGTCCTCTGGTTCCATCCCCACAGCCCTTTGGGAGGCTTTCCCCAAGACTTAGCTGTCTCAAAGAGGCCAGACATTTCTAGTAAGTCTAACTTATCAGTCAGCAACACATACATCATTAATTCTTCTGGAGGGGTTTATGCTCTTTTACATTGACTTAAGAAATTAAAAATCATTATCCATCTAATAAATATGAAATTATCTCCAAGGGTGGCAACAGTATGGGAAGGTCTTCAACATCACATGTGCATGGCTGGTTGAGGGCCTTGTGGGCAGAGGACATGCATTTTCTTAAACTTGTCTTCATGTAACAATAAGCCATTTCCTCTTCACCACTTTCTATGCCATGTGAGAAAACAGTAACAACAATAGAATCTCCAGTATTGGGCAGGATTCTGTTGAGGGGAGGTAGCCCATTAAGAAGAAATACAGCCTGGAATCCATGACTGGTGGGAGACTGTTGCACACATCTGGAGTCAGTGACCGCTGTCCACACCCGATGTAGGTAAACAGGAAGGCCACTCCTTTGCCGTTATCACTTAACTAGTCTTTAAATTGTGATCCACTGATTTCTTTTCCAGAGCATACCAAGTCCAAGCAGACAGTTCGAGAGAGTTTTGAAGGCCCACAGAAGATGAAAGGCTGCACAGGTGATCATAGGCAAAGTAGGAAAGGTCCTCTGGCAAATCCCAGGCATCCCTGGTGCTGCTGACCTATAGGAGGCTTCTCTCTATCAGGCTGCCACGGTCTACCAGGCCAAACTCCTCCTTGGGGCTCCTCAGACCACTGGCAGGAAGGAAAAACAGGTTAATATGCTGTGGGCCAGACCCAAGCCAAGCTGGGAGGGAGACTTGGAGATGGCATTAGCTAATGTCACCAGGTTCTCTTGAGCAGTTAGGCAGAGTCTCAATCCTGCTGTCTCAACCTCAGGGGAGCAATTTCTGAAATTGTGCTTTCAATGCCAAAGGAAGTCAGAAAGAGTGACAAAGTGAAATGAGTTGTAGCAGAAGAGAAGGGAGGTGGGAAGGTGAATGGACCCTCTCCTTAGTGACTCAATTCAACCTAGCTTGTTCCTCTGAGTGGTGGCTTGGTGGGCAGCTCATACAGCTTAGTGTAAAATGCCTTCCCCCTAAGACCATACAAAAATGGACCCATTGCCGGGTGCAGTGGCTCAGGAGGCTGAGGTGGGAGGATCCCGAGTTCAAAGCCAGTCTCAGCAACAGTGAGGCGCTAAGCAACTCAGTGAGACCCTGTCTCTAAATAAAATATAAGATAGGGCACTCAATCACTGAGCCACATCCCCAGCCCTGAGTTCAATCCCCGCTACCAAAAAAAAAAAAAGTAGTACTGTCCTGAGATGGGTCCTGCAATATTGTGAGACTGAAAGGGAGGCCCAGGAGCCCCTGGGAGACAATGGCCACGATGTGAGGCACCCAGCTCTATGGAACCATCTTTTCCCACAGCCAATAGGAGCCATTCAGCAGTTGTGAGCAATGGCCA